CTGAACTTATCCTTGACCTTGTCTTGTATTGTCAGCCATCAATTGCCCTTGAGACTTCTAAAGATTTGTAAATATGAACTTGTGCCTTTAGGATTCTAGACAAACATACTACTCTTAGTCTATAAACTGTAGTGCCTTATACTTCATGACATTTTTTATTGCTCTAAAATATGTTAACTCCTTAAAGATTGAAATCCTCATTTATTTAATGTCTTAGCAGTGCAGACGTTTAAAATACTATTGGCAGATTAAAATTTCATTGTTAGAATGCTATAATTGGAAGATAAATATGTGTAATTTTATGTGTAGCATGCTTATATATTTAAATATTGAGCCCTACCTATATGCATAAAAATAGAGTTTAAATTATTTATATAACAGGAACATAATTTTGTCTAAATATAAAAAGTAAATGTCAATGTATGGGGTATATACATATATATGAATGTTAAAATGCCTAATTATATTCTGGAGTTGTAAAGATAAAATGTCATGCAAGTATATACACTGAAAACAGTGTATATACTCATTGAGAAAGAGTATATGTGATAATTTTAGTTAAAATTATACTGCCTCTTCTGTGTTGATAAATTAAGGTACACACAGTGTACTTAGTACTAGTTGCCTCCTTCCCTCCCTCTCTCTGTCTCTGTTCTATTTTACTTATTCTTTTGAGAGAATTGGTCTCTCTGAAATCCTAGTGAGCATCTCTGAGTTCTCTGAGCCCTGGTCTAAGTTTCTCTCCAAGATGAGATTACAGCCTAAATAATGTAAAGGTCTTCAGATTAAGAGCAAGCATGGTCTGGAGTCTATATGTACTTTTGTTCTAATTCAGAGGAATATGAATGGTGATCTCTGTGGATCCAAGTTTAGTTTTCTCCTTTTCCTTGCAAACCCAGGGTGTTGGGCATACAAGTCAAGCATGCTACCACTGAGCTCTACCTGAGATGTCAGCAAGACCTTTCTGAATACAGATATAAGATTTGAGGATAAATTAGTGGCAACAAAATCAGTTAAGCCTTTTTAAATATTAGACACTTCTGAAGTGACACTGATAGAAAAAATTCCACTGTTTTTGACCTAGGAGCCATGGGACTCTACACTAAGCACGCTGCATCGACTCCTGCTCAATATGACCTTATCGATCTTCATACATTACTCTCTACCCAGCTCATAAATCAGGAACCATATTGTCTCTGACTGTGTGTAGGTGTGCTCACATGCATTTTCACTTCTACTCATCACTTGCACAATAAAGAGGTTACCTTTATTTCTACTAATTTGCCAGTAAACATTACATTTAAAGATATAGGAAGGTCTTTCAGAATACAAATAATTTTAAGGGCCAAAATGAAATTTTATTACAGGAGATATTCAAAACACATAACTGTTATCAACTTTGTGTTTACTGATAGGTTAACACCCTAATAGTACTAACCTATCTGTTTACCTCAAAAGTACATAGAGGTATTTGCTAGCCAAAGAACATCTATCATGCTCACCCTATTTTGCTAAAGGAAAAATCAATCAATGAAATTTAGGTTGAATTTATCCTAAAACACAATGCCTAACCTACTAGGTGTATACTCAATAGGAAATCTAACACAAACCATTGTAAATTAAAAACATGGTTTTCTAGCCATGTACAAAATTATTCAGGAAAAAAAAAACAAAAGGAAAATAAAATGTGATAGTATTGCTGGACAGCCATAATTCACAGCTGTAATCCTAGCTAAGCCAGAGTCTGAGATCTGAAGATCATGGCTGACTCAGTGATCCTGTCAAAAGCCAGGATGAATGCCCTAGTTTACTTATCTTATTGCTTCTTGAAATCCTATTACCTAATTGGAATGTACCCTTTGACCCATTAAAAGCAGAGGAAGGAGGAGCCTCTTCTGTTTAATCATATCTGGATACATACATATATATGTATTCACATATATATTCACATACATATTCACCTATATATACACATATATATACCTATGTGTGAATATAAATATTGTTACATAGGTAATCCTTAATCCACCATCATGATGTCTACTTCAGAATATTAATTTGAGGAATTTACTCTGAGGAAGATGAAAAACTTAGGCAGTGAGGTAGACAATTTGACCAAAAAAATTAAATTTACAGTATCTGACTATTTACAATGTTACTATATTTACCTATATTTGAGATTGTAAAAAAAAAAAGCTCATATTTGAAAGATGCTTGAAAACTAAACTTTGACTTTTTAGGAAAAGGCTAATGTATGTGTTATTCAACAAGGAACATCTTATATTTGTTCTGATGATAAATCAATGTTTAAATCTGGAGTAGATGATCAGACATTGGCAGCCAACATTTTAATAACTGTCTCCCCCAATGTATCTCAAATGCACTCTATTAGCAAACATGACAGTCCAATTATTTCCACAGTGCTTAGTATTTCATGGTGGCCTATGGCCAAGAGCAATATATATAAGGTGGGAAACATGCCAAAGAAGTTAGCTGATCTGAAAAGCTAAAATTGCTAGTGCTGAAAATTCAGGGATAATATGAGGTTAACTCCCCTAACTCTGTTTAAACTCATCAGAGAAGCAAACACATTGGCACCTACTTAATAACTTTTCCCCTTTATATTCTGCAAAAAAAAGGAGGTAAGTCAATTTATGCTACAAGTGTGTTGCTAAAATTTTATGTCACATAAAGAGAAAACATTTGTTTCACTTATCACTAGAGAACATAAAATACATTGGTAATTCATTATACATTTATCTGGTCCAGCTTACTAAATCTAGAGCATAAAAATTAGTTTTTCAAACTAGGAAAGAAATATGAGTTACATATATATATATTTTTTTCTAGCCACATGCTGTATATGTTTTATTTTCTACCATCATATAACTAGTATAAAAATTTTACAAAATACAGTCTGTTACTCTTAGGAAAATCTATATTAGTTCAAGTATTAGAAACACACCTAGTAGTTCCAGATCCAGAGTTGAAATTTGATGAAGGTGTAATGAGTGCCTAAGTGAATGAACAAGTAATATAGTTGAAAGAGGACCGAACTTGTCAAAAGAACTGAGTTCCAAGTCTTGTTACCAATATCAAGCTACATGCAAGTACTTATAATGGTAAGTATACTTAGAATGCATAAGTATTTAATAACTATAATGAATAATGAGCTATACCAAGTTGTTATCATAATCTTATAAAGTAGATAATAATGTTGTACTTATTTTTTTTAACAGGAAAAATAAGGCATGAATGGTATAAATAACTTGCTGATGGCAGAGGTGTGATTCAAATTCAGGCAGTCTGGTTCACAAGCTCTCCACCTACGTAGTATAATACATCTTTTTAAAAAATTTATTGCCTTGTATCTATTGCCTTTGTATTTATTGCCAAATTCATTCTGTAAGTCATAGCCTCATCACTGATGACATAACAGTTTTGTATTGAATGTCTTTTACAGTCCCCAGAGTCTCTGGAGAGGTTATTATGGCTGAGGTGAATTCATACATATAATTAGTATTCAGAGCCAGATGTTGACAAACACTTCCAGATGTAAATATTTTAGGCTTTGTGAGCCATATCGTCTCTGATACATTATGCAAGCCTGCAATTGTAGCATTAAAAGCAACCTCAGAAAATATGTAAACAAGTGGGTACTATGTTCCAATGAAACCTTACTTGCCAAAAAAAAAAAAAAGTAGTGAGCCAAATCTGACCAGCAGGCTTGCTGAGCCATGTATCAACTAGCATATTGAACAGTAGGACATTTAGGTTCAGTTTAGCAAGGGTAAATTTGAGAACATTCAGTGGTATTATGTTAGGAGAGATCGCGAATCATCATGTGTTCCGGTCTTCTGCTTTCCTGTTACATCAAGATGAGCACACAAATGCACACATGTTGTATTTCAAAAAGTTGTAATATGATTTCCAAATCATGATTCGATTTCCAGGTGAGGTCACACAGCCTAAAAGCTGCATGCCACAGTCAAATTTTCTATTGCTTTTAATACAAAAGAAATTCTAACTTGCACTAGAGAATTCTTAAATATTTGAGAAATGATAATATGTTCATTTTCAAACTCTTACAGAAAATACATGATGCAACATTCTCCAAATCATTATACATGCTATATAATCCTACTATCAAACCTAGAAAAAGTAACATACAAATATTCCTCATGCAAAAAAAAATCGTAAGAAATCAAAACTGACAGCATAAAAAACTATAAAGAATAATTATCAATTAGAGTTATTCTCAAGAATGCAAGGTTGTGGGCTGGGAAGGTGGCTCAGTGGTAGAGCGCATGCCTTGCATGCCAAAGGCCCTGGGTTCGATTCCTCAGTACCACATAAACAAAAAGAAAAAAGCCAGAAGTGGCGCTGTGGCTCAAGTGGTAGAGCGCTAGCCTTGAGCTGAAGAGCTGAGGGACAGCGCCCAGGCCCAGAGTTCAGGCCCCATGACTGGACCACCCCCCAAAAACAAAACAAAACAACAACAACAACAAAAAGAATGCAAGGTTGGTTTAACATTCAAAATCAATGTAGTCAGGCATTCAAAGCTTATACTTAACTACACAGGAGACTGAGATCTGGGTTTTTGCCAGACAAGGAAAAAAGTCCATGAGCAGGACATGAAGGAGTACCAGCCTTGAGTGAAAAAAACAAGCAAGAGCATGAGGCCCTGAGTTCAAGCTTATACTGTATGTAAGTTTTATTTTCTACCATCTTATAACTAGTATAAAAATTTTACAAAATACAACGTTACTCTTATGAAAATGTAAATGAGTTCAAGTATTAGAACAACCTAATAGTTCCAGATCTACATACACAAAAAATCAATACATACCAATATATGAAGACAGTAAATAAAGGGAAAATATCATTTGATCATTTTTAACATGAAGTGTTTAAGAGAATAATTTTCCAGTGTGAAACCATTTCTGAAACAACTCTGACAACATTCCTCAACATGATAAAGCCAACAGCCAACATCAGTCTAGTGTTGAAATTCTTTAATTATGACAAAGTGGTCCAATGTTCTTTCTAGCATTTGCCCTTTCTGATAAAAATTAGCTTTATTAAGGTAAAACTTACATTATAATTTACCCCCACTGAAGCATACATTTCCAAGTGAGTTTAAAAATATAATAACCATCTCTACAATTATAACAGAAAAATATTCCCTACTTCAATATAGTCAGTGCTCTTCTCTCAATCTCTTTTGTTACTTGGAAACCAATATTTTATCAGTCATAGATTATCCTTCTCAAGTATTTCATAGGAGGCAAAGGCAGAATCTAAGGGCATATGAGAAGCATTGCCATTTTTACTCTGCAAGTGAAAAGAATCTGGTGATGCAGAATAGATTAGATTCTAAAAAGGAGGAAAAGAACCAGAAATTGCAAAGGAGGTAGTGTTGAGGCAGAAAAATAGAAAGAAGCAGGAGAAAAGTGCAAGATGGGAAGCTGAAGCTTGCATTACTTGGTAAAACACATGGTCAATTCTAGTGGTGGGGAAAGCTCAAATATCAGAGAAGCCAATAAAGAGACTGGGTCATCCAGGACTCTCCTGACTCAACCAGCAGAGGCTAAAGTATGCCATATGTCAAATTAACTTGCTCAATTTACTTTTCTGGACTTTATAATGCCCTTTAGGAAAACCATTACTGAAAAGCTATTGGCGACATTTCCAGTATAAATGCTGATTTAGGAGGGTTGGTGTTCAAAAGCCTAAATGTCACAAATTTAAACTATACAGACCAGTTGTTTCACATGCTAAAAGGAAAAGTAATTTTGTAGATGACCCAGTTTTGGTGGAAAAGGAAAAAGAACATAGGGTGGCTTTTTAAATGCCTTTACTGGTTGAATTGTGTTTTCATATGAGCAGAGAATACAAGATGACCAGTGTGGTGAAATTAAATATAAAGGATTCTGAAAAATTAATAATTTAATGTATTTGGGTATTATTTTTCACACAGTAGATGTGAGAACTTCATATAAGGATGGGGATCCTTACTATATTAATCTTACCAGCACAGCGACATCTATTTAAATAAGGTACTAAGACATTTAAAAATAATTTAGAAATCTATTCTTGTTAATGTTTTCAAGTTAAGTACAAATCAGATCTATCACTAAGAAAATGCACAACAAATAACACAGAATGCTCCAGAGTATGAAAGGAACCATCTTTTAAATAAACCATATAAAGACCACATTTCAAATGGAAGATCATAAACTGGCACAGGTATCAAACCTTCTCCTAGAAACACAACTATGTCTGAGGACAACAACGACCTCCCAACTTGCTGGGAAAAGTATCATAGGTTCTTCCACAGGCAAAATAAGCCATTGTGGCATTGTTGTTTTTCTTTTATAGGCAGAGATGTAAAAAATCGGAGGAAAAACATGTTTTCCTAATCTCATGAAATCTTTGTGACTAGACAGATGATTATTTAAAACACTAAATCTTCCCAAATGCATCTGAAAAAATACTTTTAATGATCTAGTAAAGAAAATGATATATGCTGTGACTAACTCTTAAACATAAATAAGAACTGTAACTTATACTTGGATCTAAGATGTCATATAACAAAACTTACAAAACTAAATTCACTTTGTGTCACCAGCTGAGCTAGTATTGACTTGAACATACAATTATATTCAAAGCTTCTCAGGATTGGTGTGAAATGCATGTATTCACAAAGCAGGTGTGCTTACAGATATGGATGGACACAGCAAGGTCCCCATTGCCTTTAAATGAGTCCGACCTCAAGATGCTGGGGAGCCTGAGATCTATGTGTTCTGCACCCTGATGTTGCGCATGTCTCTCCAAAGCACTGGTCTGTAGTTTTGTTCCAAAATTTCCATGTATTCAAAATAATCGCTCACTCGAAACCCGGGCAGTGCTTCTTCCTGTCAAGAAAGCCAGAGAGAAGCTCATTCATTTGGGAAAAGACCCATAATTCCAAGCTACTAGTTGTTAAGTAGCATATGTTATCATTTATTTTCAGCTTCAGGTCCTGGGACACAGGGTGTGGCAGGAGGGGAGGGGGAGTGTTTTGTTATTAGTGGGCTGTACTTGTTGATATATGCCTAGAATGATTTAGGTCCTCCTGAAAAAAGGTTGCCTACCTACAAAAGCAAAAATTCATTACAGCTAACAATCCTTCCCACCTCCCTGCTCAAACTCTTAAACAATAAAATCTTTCCAGTATTTTAGATATAAGCTTTGCTGGTGAAATTTGTCATCAGTAAAGAACTTAACACTTATTTAGGAAAGGATGTTATAATACTTCAGGAGTAGTCTACAGCCATTGTCATAGACCTCTTTAAGACTGTGATCCATACCACTAGGTTGATGTATGTCAATATTAATTTGAAACTTAATGGTTCAAGTCCCAAATGAGGCACTCAAAAACAATGACAGGATCATCCACTTAAGATTTTATGGACTTTAGGGGAATTTTAACAACTACTTTTAGTATGTCCACACACTATCTAATGCAATGTCTATCTTGAAGGTTTAAACCAAGTCTGCAAGGTCATAGTAGTCTGTGATCTAATATAATTATATTCAGAGTCTCTGAGATTATAAACATTTGGACAATTCACACCTTTCCTCAGTTTATAAAGGCAAAGGTTGCTATCTTAAAATAACAGCAATTCAAAAGTACAAGATGTAATTTGTGTCATGTACCAGATACTGCGCTGGAGGGAAGATACCAGTTTAATGTGGCTAGGAAATACCACATGATTCTTAGTAAGAGTGGATGATGCTAAAAAACCTCTGTCCTTAACACTTCTGAGTAATCACTCACAGTTTGCAAATAGTGTCGGATAACTTTACTCTTACTTTGTCATGTATTACTTAAAATCGACATGACTTGTAGATGGAAAGATAAAGAAACTAAATAATGTTTATACATAGCATGAAAACATCCTGTTTAAGCTAGGGGTAATGACTTCCAATATAAAGATCTAAAATCCACTTTTAATTTTAAAGCAAGCTGTTTTATTCATTTCCCACTTTTCCACTATATACGCATTTTATTATTTTATATAAGGATTCTATTTATTCACTTAAAACACAAAGGTAAACCAGACAAGAGGCCTTCTCCTCGTATCTTAAGAACTGAGGCAAACCCAGAAATGAACCTACAGACCTATAGCCATCTAATCTTCGATAAGGGAGCTAAAACAATAGAATGGAAGACAGACAGCCTCTTCAGTAAATGGTGCTGGCAAAACTGGTTAACTACATGTAGAAAACTAAAGCTAGATCCTTATATATCACCCTGCACCAGAATCAACTCCAAATGGATCAAAGACCTTGAACTCAAAGCAGACACTCTGAAAACATTACAGGATGGAATAGGAGAAACCCTGGGTCTCCTTGGCTCAGGCCGAAATTTTCTGAATAGAGACCCGGAAACACAACAAATCAAAGAAAGGCTGGACAAATGGGATTGTATAAGGTTGCAGAGCTTCTGCAGGGCAAATGACATAGCTAGCAAGATCAATAGAAAGCCCACGGACTGGGAGAAGATCTTTACTAGCCATACAACGGACAAGGGTCTCATATCTAAAATATACTTGGAACTCAAAAAATTAAACCACCCAACAACAAATCCTCAAAGAAACAACTGCCCAATAAGTAAGTGGGCGAAAGACTTAAAGAGAAGCTTCTCTGAAGAAGAAAGAAGGATGGCCAATAGACACATGAAGAAATGTTCAACATCCCTAGCCATAAAAGAAATGCAAATCAAAACAACATTGAGATATCACCTCACTCCAGTTAGAACAGCAAAAATCAAGAACTCTAACAACAACAGATGCTGGAGGGGATGTGGACAGAAAGGAACCTTACTTCATTGTTGGTGGGAATGTAAACTTGTTCAACCACTTTGGAAAGCAGTATGGAGGTTCCTCAAAAGACTCCACATAGAGCTCCCCAATGACCCAGCAATCCCACTTTTGGGCATTTACCCAAATGATCACAAACAAGGCCACACTAAAGCTACCAGCACAACTATGTTTATTGCAGCATTATTTACCATAGCTAAGACATGGAACCAACCCAGATGCCCCTCAGTAGATGAATGGATCAAGAAGATGTGGTATATATACACAATGGAATTCTATGCCTCCATCAGAAAGAATGACATTTCCCCATTTGTTAGGAAATGGAAAGGCTTGGAAAAAATTATATTAAGTGAAGTAAGCCAGGCCCAAAGAAACATAGGTCCCATGGTTTCCCTTATTTGCAATATCTAGTATAGGTATGAGTCAAGCGGAAAAAGTCAAATAATGTGATGTTAGGAAAACGAAACCTCAAATATGTATTTTAATGTTTTTGTTTCTTTCATGCATGTGTTTCTAACGCATTTATAATATTATCTCTTTGTTGCTTTGTATGTCCCTCCCCCACAGTGTAACCCCCGCTTTCACTATATTTGATGTCAGTATAACATGTGGAGGAGATGGGGACAAACAAGTCGTTTAAGGATTCAGGTGGACCTGTTGCAACAATGAGAAGTACAAAATGTCATGTCAAAACCAGCTTTACAATGTCGGGGGGGGGGGGGGAGGGGGGGTATGATTGGGTGGGAGGGAGGGGGGAGGCTGGGAAGGGAGGTGAAGGGTAAACAAAGGAGGAGGCTGCAATGCTTGGTAAGAAATGTATGCATTATCCTGCCCATGTAATTGTAACCCCTCTGTACAGTATGTTCTCAAATAAAATAAAATAAAATTAAAAAAAATAAAATTAAAAAAAAAAAAAAAAAAAAAAAAAAGAACTGAGGCAAACATGAGCTCGTGTCTCCATGAGCAACGAAATCAGAGGGAACATTTTCAGCTGGGAATGATGGATACCTGCCTGTAATCCTAACACTTAAGAGCTTAAGGCAGAAGCTGTTCAGTTCAAGGCTGGTTTCAGTTACATAGTAAGATTTTTATCTCAAGGTAGCCGAAGAAAGAAAGAAAGAAAAAAAAAAGATGTCACCTGATGAATGGCAGAAAATTGGCTCTTTATAAATTTTTTTTTTTAAATACTGTGGTTGGCTAGAATGGCTGATGCCTGTAATGTAAGATACGTAGAATAAGGAGGCCAAAAAATAAGCAAGGAATGACAATTTACATCTCTGGTCCCAGCTATGTGGGAGCCATAAGTAGAAGGATCATGACCCAAGAACAGAGCTGGGCAAAAGATGAGACCCTACCAAAAAGTTAACTGAAAGCAAAAAATCTTTAAAATGAGACACCACTACTTCTAAAAAAAAATAGCCTTCTCTTCTTTGGAAAAAATAGGATAAGCCCAATCTTGATGTTCAATTATCTAATTATTAACCAATTGATGGTTTGGGGGATTGGACCCAAGGTCTTGTGAATCACTTGAGCCACTTTTGCTTTTTGTGTTTTGTTTTTGAGACAGGGTCTCTGATTTTCTCTGGTCTGGTCATGTACTCCTAATCCTTCTACCTTAGCATCCCAAGTAATTGCAATTAAGTGTGCCATCACACTTAGCAAGAATTTACTTTAAATACGTTACTGTTGTAAGTTTGGAACGCCCATAAACATCTATTTCCCCCAGGTTGTATGTGATTTGCCTTTGACCATCTCTTCACTAAAAGCACACCTAAAAGAATTATAATCATGTTGTATTCTAACAGAAAAAAGATAAGCTGTGAGAGGAATTTTTCAGTACATTTTCATAATTTTCCAATCATTGCTTATTATTCATTAAGTGTAAATTATAATAGGCAATGACAAAGCTTGAATAATAGCTCTAATAATCCTTCCTGGGCAAAATAATAAGCATAATCTATTGAATATCTTTTAATTATTGTTCTATTTTATTTTAAATATAAAACTACCTAGGAAGCCAGAACTATTATGTAGCTTAAGTATATTTCTTCTGTAGAATGTAGTTTTTCCAAACATAGCTCCCATTTTAGACATTATTTTTAAAGTAAAGGAAGAATAATCTGATAATAACTCTGAAAAGATACCCAAAAATGGCACAAAAGGTTATTGGGGTCTCATTTCATAATAGAAAAATTTAAATATGCATTTAAATGCATTCTTAAGTGACATCGCTCATTATTTAAACTTTGTGGGCAATTTTAGTTGTGAGGAAAACTTTTCAAAGTAGCTGAATTTTCATTGCAATCTCCAAAGTCAAATATTTTTCATCTTATCTCAAATATTTTCTTTTTTTCTCTTTTTTGTAATTGTGAAAATACTGTACAGAGAGGTTACAATTACATGGGCAAGATAATGAATACATTTCTCATCAAACATTGTAGCCTCCTCCTTTGTTTCCCCTTCCCATCCCTTCCCATCCTCCCCCCACTCCCCCACCCAATCCTTCCCATCCCTCCTCCCCCCCAACCAAAGTTGTAAAGTTCGTTTTTGACATAATGACTTGTATACATCTCATTGTTGCAATGGGTCCACCTGTATCCCTATTTAAACGATTTGTTTTTCCCCTTCCCCTCCACAAATTATACCAACATCAAATACAGTGAAAGCAGGGGTTATACTGTGGGGGAGGGACATACAAAGCAACAAAGAAATCATCTTATAAATGTGTTAGAAACAATCGCATGAAAGAAAAAAAACATTTGAATACATATCTTAGGGTTCATTTCACTAACATCACCTTATCTGACCTTTTCTGCTTGACTCAGACATACAGTAGATATTGCAAATAAGGGAAACCATGGGACCTATGTTTCTTTGGGCCTGGCTTACTTCACTTAATATAATTTTTTCCAAGCTTTTCCATTTCCTAACAAATGGGACAATGTCATTCTTTCTGATGGAGGCATAGAATTCCATTGTGTATATATACCACATTTTCTTGATCCATTCATCTAATGAAGGGCATCTGGGTTGGTTCCATATCTTAGCTA